AGCGCATTGATCCCTATGCTGCCTAGTGTACAGTATTTTCGATTCAATCCAGGTCAAGTTATGAATTAGTATGTTGAATGTGTAAAGACCCAACATCTGTGTCCAAACCGTTAACTTACATAATGTCCTCTTTGGGAGACCCATCTTACCCCTTATGGCTTCCCATCACATACTCCTCGATTTGAACATAAGACCTCTCTGCCTTATGAGAAACTTAAATTGAATCTTGATATTTTGTAAAGACCCGAGATTCTTTTATGTATTGTCCACTTTGGGAGAGTTGAAGTTCATCTTACCCATTACGGCTTTCTATCGTGTCCTCTTAGGATTCGAACTCAATTGGCATCAGGATTCAACTTAAGTCTCTCGTAAGGCTAAGTTCTTGGATTTGAATCCTGAGGGAGGTGACAAGAAGCCGTGAGGGATAAAATGGATCAGGCTCTCTTAAAGCTAACAATACGTAAAAGAACGGTCGGGCACGAGGCTCGGTTCATTAGGGTATGTCTTCCCTTTATTTAATCCTCCATAGCTAGTAACGTTATTTCTTTTCTTGAACAAATAGTAATGTGATTTGGATCTAACAGTCTAACTAGAAACATAGTTGTATTGTCTCAGATATTCATTGAACGGAATTATCAACCGTGAAACTGGTACATATGCTTATTCTCAACGTTTTTGTTTGCATGCAGTTGATGAAAGATGTGATATGGAACTTGATGAAACTGATCCAGCAGTTTGGCTAAAGCTAGAGGATGCTGCAGATGAGTACATTAAGAACAATACTGCTGCTTTCAAAACTGTGTGTGGAAGATTGCTTGAGAGTCTGCATGATGATAAATTTATGGAGACGGTGCAGTCTCAGCAGCTACTCAAGGCAAAGGGCATTAAAGGCTGTATGGCTTCTGAACATCTGTATTTGTTTCCTGTGGCTTATTTATTCCTTTGATTTTTGGGCTTAGATTTGCTGATTTTCTCTAAATGGCAGTATCAAATGAGAATAACCTCTCTTTAGGCTGGAGGCGTTGTGTGCTTCTTGTGGAGGCTTCCAACAGTCCAGATTCTGGAAGAGTTTTCCACCATGCTCGTTCGCTTGAGACATTTTGTGCTAGTAATGGTATAAAATTATCTCTTATTAATGGTGTATCTGGATCCGCTATGGCAGCTCCAGGATCTGCATTTCCAACTCCATTCACATCGCCTCTGTTTACTGGAAGCTTCCCATCGAGTCCTCTCCTTTACAGCCCTGATCTTGGCCCTCATAGGGTCGATAGAATCGATTTAGTCCCACCTTTAAGCTTGGATGGATTCCATGTTGCAAAAACAGCATCACCCAATGGGTCACCTCCCAAACGCAGGCAGCTTTCCCTTCCTGTCCTATCGTTGCATGAGAAAATTCAGAATTCACCACAGCTTGGAGTAATTCATTTGGCATTGCAAAATGACACATGCGGCTCCGTATTAAGGTCTCACTTTTCCTTGTTTTCCTCTTCAGTCTAGATTTAGGATTTCACAATTGTTGCAATCTTCTCAAGTATCTTCTTCTTTATAATATAGTTGGCAGAATGATGTATTTGTGGTTGCTGAACCTGGAGAACTAGCTGATAAGTTTCTGCAGAGTGTTAAATCCAGCTTGCTTCTAATGATGAAGGGCCGGCGCAGGACGTATGCATCAGCCATAACCAACATCTCAACTGTAGCTGATCTTGTTTCATGCAGACCTTACTTCCAAATTGGTGGTGTTGTCCACAGATATATAGGACGTCAGACTCAGGTGTGCTGCGACCTATATAATCTTGTTACACTTTTCTATGGTCAGTTTAATGTGGGCTATGTATTGATTTATTGTATGTTATCCTTAAGGTCATGGAAGATGATCGAGAAATTGGTGCTTATATGTTTCGCAGAACTGTTCCTTCAATGCACTTGAACCCGGAAGATGTCCGCCATATGGTATGTTCTTGGATCAGATAATCATTTTTATTTTTACTCTGTCAGAGGAAAAAAAAATGTAGGCTTCTGAACAACGTAACATGAGATTATTTTTATCTACAAATGATTAGAATCTGGTTAACCAACCAAAGGTTTTGCGGTGGCTTATTCATTCTATTTACTCGACAACCTATTCTAATTCAAATGAAGAATCTAAGGCAAAGGGGGAGGAAAACATATCTCATATGTTCTCAGGAATAATACTTATTTATTTCTATCGTCTGGCCAAAACTTGCATGAAAGTTGGAGGTTACTAGTATGTTATGGGAAGAATTCTCTCGTGTTGATGAAAGAACATGGACGAAATTACAGAACATTTTGGTAAATATTCTAGTTGCGCAGTTGCACTATTTGATCTCCGTCTTTCATGGTTTCGTTGAGTGCTGATATTCTTAAAATGCAAGCTATTTGTTTGAGTATGCTTGTATATTGATTTTTAAACCAGGATTTAATGTTTCTTTTCGGATGCTGATTTTCTTTCAATTTCTTCAAACCAGGATATAATATGTTTCTTGTGTTTTTCTATCTGTAGTAAGTTCAAAGTCAGAAATATACGGTCAAATCTTAAATTCAAGTTATCCATTTGTAATCCTTGTTCTATTGAACCTCCCAGATTGGAGCTTGGAAGGACAGAATTATAATCTTCACAGGGATATATGGGCCTATCAGAGCTTTAATTAAAGCATTTCTAGATTCTGGTGCTAAAGCTGTTATATGCCCTTCTTCTGAGCCTGAAGAGACACCGTTGACATCATTATATGGTTCAGGTGAGTTTGGTACATTTGAGAATGGGAAATTTGAGATTGGGGAGGAGGAAGCTGAAGACGAAGAGGCAGACCCTGCCAGTCCAACAAGTGATTGGGAAGATAGTGAACCCGAGAAAGATGGAGAACATTCTATGCCCTTTTGGGACGATGATGAGAAAGAGTTATCACAGTTTGTGTGTGCCTTGTACGATTCACTGTTTCAGGGCGGTGGAAGAGTGGATGTTGCTTTACAAAATGCTCTCGCATCCCATCGGAGGTTGAGGTATTCATGCCATCTTCCAAGCATACCATAACATTTCCCAGCTATACGAGATTTTTCCGAGGGAGGTGCAAGATGGATATTGATTTATAACTTGCTGTTGTGCTTGGCTGAGGTATCTGCACTCTCTCCCAAGTATATCATAGTTTGTAAACAACCATATAGAAATTGTATATCAGAGGTAGAGGGAAAAGAGGAATACTTTGAAAATGAAAAAGGCCAAAAAGTGGAGAAGAATAAAAAGAATGGAAATATAGATGACTGAAATAATTCACATAACAAGAGGGAACTTACCATTGATTTGTCGTCAATGCTGATATTCTTTCTCCTGCATTGAGCTTGCACTATTTCTGTGTGTACCTTGTCATTTTTTCTTCAACTTGTGTGTGAATTTCTCTCCTCCTGCTTCTCCCTTGACATCTAATGTTTGTCTTATTCTAATATTTGAGTCAAGAGAGTGGAAAATGAGAAGGTTGGTAGTCCCTGTGAAGAGAATGAAGCACAATCTATGCCCTGATGTGACATAGACGGTGCTATAACACATTGTCTTTTACAGTAATCAGTTAGGCGCGGAACTGGTTAGATTGTCTCTTGACACTCTTCGTAAATAACAAGCTCATCCATTTTAGGGTGACAAAGGTGCCCTTAATGGGAAAATTATACTTTTGTTTCGTCTGTTATTGTTATGTTATTTGGAAACCTTGATGATAAGCTAGTGAGAATTTGAAGCTATTGAAACTGATACAGTTATAAAACCAGTAGGCTTCCGATTAATTGAAAAATGATGAATTTCTAACCGGAATGGTTCCTGTCAATTGAAGGCTATAAACACGTGTACAAAACAGGGTCACATACCTAACAAGGCAGAATACCGAAACACTACATATTCTTTGTATTACCATGAAAATCATTCGTTCTTGCATGCTTCCATTCTCTTTTTGAGAAACAAGTGGACAATTTCTTTACAAAATTGTGTTCAATTTCATATATGGCAATTCCGCCAAGATTGTGATCTATGATCATAATACAAAACAGGCAACATGTACAATAATTACATGAAAGTCAAAAGGAAATGGATAAATTTTAAGAGTTCACTCTTCTTTGTTTGGAGGTGGAATGAATCACATCTCTATCAGCAGTTGCAATAATGCAAAATCCAAAGCTTTGCACTTTGAACTATAAAACTCTTCGCAAAAACATTATAGCCTACAGCCGTTACCGTTAGGATCCCTTAAGAGGGAGATCGAGTATTTCAAAGTACTTGAATTGCACACTGGTGTAAGTCATGTGAAATTAGAGAGACGCCTTCAAAAGAAGATGGCTTCACAGGAATGAAATTCTCGGCTTAATTCCAGGCTTTTGACGGGGTCATGGAGAAGGAACAAAAGAAGGGATACTTTATCATATTAGGCGTCTGTTATTAAGATTTGAGATTTCATCTTAAAAGATTAACCTTATCAAGAAGAGTAGCCCAAATCTTATAAATTGGTCTATATTTTCATTTAACGGACCAATTTTGAAATTCAGTACTCATTTTTTGAGTCTTAATCAGTTGGAATTGCTCGTTTGAGTTTAATGGGCTCTAATGCACTTAGAGTTCCATCTTAAATGATCAATCTTATTAAGAGGAGTGACCTAAACTTTGAGTGACCTAAACTTTTATAAATTGATTTATATTTTTCTTCTTTATTCGATATGATATTTTATCCCTTATCATGTGTTTTGTGGCTGAATGAAATTCAGTGGTTCAATTATAGAAACCTTAAAACAGAGTCGAAGAAATTTGATGTTTAAAGTCTATAACATTAATTAGTCTTGAGTTCTTAAGACATGGACTTAGTTTTCTTTGAAATTTTTAATCATCTCCCTTTTTGGGCTTAGCCGCCTGACTTACACGGATGGCTGTATACGGAAGACAAGCTATCCCCAAGTATACATCTGATATCCCAAGAAAAAACAAGAGGTAGCATGGCAAAAACTTCGGATAGTTTCTATCCATTGTCTTATTGAGTAGTGCATAACAACATTCTTTCAATAAAGAAATACAAAACTTACCAATTTGATATAAAATCAAAATGGAAAATGGAAGTCAAATTTACTCCTCTCCACTTCTTTGCCAGTAATCAGGCCTGAAAAGTATGCAATATAATACTGATGATCTGCAACTTATGTATCTACTGCAATATTAATCTCATCATCAATATTCTCATCGTTAGCATTCTCATCGGCTAAATATTCAAGAGCAGTAACGACATCCGCAATCAAGGGTCGGGTACTAGCTTCATCTTGAAGACACATGGCTGTAACAGCAACAGCTTGATACAGACCTTTCACCGGATACCTCCCTTCTAGCAATGGATCTACCATCGACGTGAGCTTTGTTTTGTCCTTGAAAAGTGGCTTTGCCTGCAGATTTACATTCAAAATTAATGTTACCAAGTTTATTTACTCTAGACTAGGTCAGGGGCTCGCCAGGTGCTAGCCCTGCCGAAAATTTTTCTTTCCCTTATATTCGGTGGCCGCCCATGCTCACCTAAATTCCTGGATCAGTCACTGGACTAGGTACTCTGTTTAGTTTGTATTTTGCTTATAATGATGAAGCACACCATAAAATTTGTTAACTTACCCAAGCAACTAGGTTCTGCTCTTCAGTTGGTTTTGTGTTATCTATAGCTCTCCTCCCTGAAATAATCTCCAGAAACACGACTCCAAAACTGTAGATATCAGATTTCTTACTCAGCTTGCCTGTATGGGCGTACTCTGGTGCACAATAGCCATACGTCCCCATCACCCTAGTCGAAACATGATCCTGTTCGCCTGTGGGACCCAACTTAGCAAGTCCAAAATCAGAAAGCTTAGGATTGAATTCTGCATCCAATAATATGTTAGATGGTTTCAAGTCCCGATAGATAATCGGAGGGTTGGCTGTATCGTGTAAGTATTCAAGTCCTCGAGCTGCCCCATTGGCTATCTTCATCCTCGTGTACCAATCCAAAGGCTTCTTATTTGAGGGTAAGTCTGACAAAAGAAAAGTAACGAACACCATTAAGTGGTTTTAGAAAATGGAGATGTCTCCAATGTTACCCATAATATGTGGAAGTATCGACGTAATGATCTGTTCAAAAGTTTCTTTCGAAAATTCAAACGCTTACCAAGAAGGTGACCTTCTAAAGAACCATTGCTCATGTATTCATACACTAATATCCTCTGGTGTCCATCGGCGCAGTAGCCTATTAGATTAACCAAGTTCGGATGGTGAATGAGGCTTAACGTTAAAACTTCAGCAAGAAATTCCCTGTTTCCTTGTACTCCATTCTTGTCTAGTTGCTTAACAGCCACAGTCTAGACAGAAAAACCATCTGGTATAAGACAGCTAATGTACATAAAATTAAACAAGATTTTGACATAGAGATACTGAAATATCCATGATATATATACTTGATTTATATTCTTAAGATGTCCCTTATAGACTCTTCCAAATCCGCCTTCGCCTATTAGCAACTCCGGATTGAAGCTTTCTGTCGCGCTAGCCAGTTCTCGGAAAGTGAATACCTTACCAGCAGCTCTTGCATTTCCATGTCTAAGTATTTCTTCAGCTATTAACCTTTGTTTACTACCAGCTGCATATGATCAAAAGGTAGCAGTTACTTAGGTTACAACACCTCTATTTCCCACCAGAACTATTCGTCGACAAATCAAAAACACAAAGCAAATGTCTGAAAATTGTCGAGAATCAAACTTTCAGATTCAATTTGGGAAATAAACTCAACAATCTCCCTTTATACAGATTAATCGAAATATTTGCAGCATTTTGAGATCTAATGTACCCAAAATCCATAAACGTAAATAGAAATTTCACGAAGAAGATGTCATAGATAATGACTAGTTTCGAATCTAACCTGTTTGCATTGAAACACTTCTGGCCATTGTGGACAATGCTTCTTCATCGTCGTATTTATTGCTTTTGATCACATTTACAGAACTTCTCGATGATTTTAAAGGATTCTTCCTCATTGTGTGATGCCGTTTTAATCCCACAACAAGCCGCTATGATCTGGTCGATGTTTTTTCCTTTTTCCCTCCACAGATTAAGAAACTGATTTCTGCAAACAATGGTCTAACTAGGTAAAAATAATCTCAATAGATGGAAGATTAGATTCAGATTGAACTAAATGTGATATATAATTGTGAAAGAAACTATTCTTCTGGAATTTTTATAACAACAAAGTTGGCTGAGAGACTCGCATTTGTCGGACGTTTGGAGGAAATTTGGCTTTCAAATATTATATATCTTAACTAACTTTCGACGGTTGTAATTCAATTTCTTGCTATATTTATACACTAAGACTAAGGCTTGCATATGATCTAATTTCTAAGATTTTATATTATAGGCAAATATATGTCCTATTGAACACATATTATGTCACACGAAGCCCTTTATTAATCGCTTTTAATTAAGAAGTTTAGTGTGTCAAATATTGCTTTGAAAATGCAAATAAAGTTCTACATTGGTTTAACGTAGGATAGATACTTATAGGCCATGTTTGAGAAATTAAACGAAAAATATGACCATTATCCATCACATCAGGCCATCATATTTGACTTTTTATCTTTTGTGTGGGATCCATAACGATTATATTTTTCATTTTCATTTTTACAATAATGTGTAGGGCT